AGCTGACCGTCAGCTGACGTCACCAGACCGTCAGCTGTCGCCGGTCCGTCGGCGCCAGCTCCCATCAGCTGACCGTCAGCTGACGTCACCAGACCGTCAGCTGTCGCCGGTCCGTCGGCGCCAGCTCCCATCAGCTGACCGTCAGCTGACGTCACCAGACCGTCAGCTGTCGCCGGTCCGTCGGCGCCAGCTCCCATCAGCTGACCGTCAGCTGACGTCACCAGACCGTCAGCTGTCGCCGGTCCGTCGGCGCCAGCTCCCATCAGCTGACCGTCAGCTGACGTCACCAGACCGTCAGCTGTCGCCGGTCCGTCGGCGCCAGCTCCCATCAGCTGACCGTCAGCTGACGTCACCAGACCGTCCTCTTCGCCGTCCGTCGGCGCCAGCTCCCATCAGCTGACCGTCAGCTGACGTCACCAGACCGTCAGCTGTCGCCGGTCCGTCGGCGCCATCTCCCATCAGCGGCAGCGCCGGGCCAACCCCAACAGCGTCGCGGCGTCTGGTGGCCGCGCTCGGGTCGCGCCAGCACGCAGACTCCCCCTCCCGCCAGACTTGCCCGCCGGGCTGCCGCGGCCAGAGGTTCGGACTTGTAGGCCTGCCGCGCGTGTCCTGCGGGGCACGTCTCCGAGGGCAGCGACGTCTCACGAGGACTGTTTGCCAAACTCCCGCCGGCGTTTAAACTGGGCGAGCCGGCGACCGCGTGGTGCGGGTTTTGCGCGCGGACGGGGGTCATCGCCCCTGGACGTGTCCGCCACGCGGCCGCGTGCGGAGTGGCGGGGCAAAGTCCAGGTCCGGCGAGGGAGCGGCGACAGGCTCGCTGCGCAGGCGCCAGGAGCGGAACCGGCCGCTCCGGACCGAGCTGCGCACGCGCTCAGGGTCTGTCGACCGACTGCAGACCGCCCTGGTCGGAGGGACGGTCACAGTCTCGCGCTCGTCGAGCGTGGCGCCTGGACCCTTTAGTAGGTATCTTTGTCTGGTGATGTTTTACGTGTATTGGGATCATGGATGAAACCTTTTGTATGCCAGTTTTACACAAATTTTTATTGATATGTTTATTTTATCATTTTCCCATTGAAAGATGCCAGTTCTGCTGCTGTAGCAAATGCTGTCAACTATTCTCAGCATTTGCTACCATGTTAAGGACTACGTAGCATGGTCACTATCGGTCAACTTCGTGGTACCTTTGCCTTACCTTACCCACATGCATCTTTTTAAGCAGTCGCTAGCTACCTATCTTGCGCTGCTTGGCTGTATCTAGCAGTGCCGGAGGGTAGCTGGTGGTGACGGGCGGCATCGGGATGTGCCGGGAGGTACCTGTTGGTGCCTGCAGGTATCTGTCGCCGTCGGGCTGCAACTGGTGGTGCCGGGCCGTATCTCGCAGTGCCAGCCTGTATCTGACGTCGCTGACAGTGGCCTCTCATGATGCCAGCCGGCATCGGAACCGGCTCGGCCCGGCTTGGCTCGGCGCGGCTCGCCATTCAGGCCGGCTCGGGCCGGCTTGGCTCGGCTCGGCTCGCCACTCAGGCCGGTTCGGCCCGGCTTGGCTCGGCGCGGCTCGCTTCTCAGGCCGGCTCGGGCGGCGTTAGGTATCGCGGGCTTCCGCCCGCCCCAGTGTCCTATTGCCACCGTGTCCGTTCTCAACGGCCGATCCCGTGTCCGATCTCCGCCGCCCCGGTGTCTGATCTCCGCCGCTCGCCCCCATGTCCGATCTTCGCCGTCCGTCCCGTGTCTGATTTACGCTGCCCGCCCGGTCGAGACTCGAGGCCGGCCCCGGGCGGCGGCTCGGGGTGCCGGCTGGACGCCACTGGCAGACGGCGGTGGCGCCGCCCCGCGCCCGGCACCTGTCCCAGGAGAATAATTAGCGGCATCACCGAGGCGCCGGGCACATCCGAGATGCCAGGCGCCGCCCCCTCCCGCATAATGACCCACTAGGGCGGCGCGTGGCCGGCACGTGTGGCCGGCCGCGACCCGTGAGACACATTGCAAACGCGTGACGCTTTATAGGCGGCGGCTGGACGCTCTCTGATGAGGTCATAATGTGTCGTGAATGCCGTTATCCTGTGTTTCTGTACTCGGAAAGTCACATGCGTAGAGTGTGGCCCACGGTAACGCGTTACAATGCTGAATATCAATTCAGTTAGACTTCGAGATTCATAGTCACCTCTGCATCACTACCGAAGCGAGCAGGGCGGCAGTCTCCCGTGGCGGCTCCGTTTTTTCTTGAATGAGTGTTCACTGAAATGGAAAGTGTCCTGAAATTACAACTGTACAAGCAGAGCTCCCACGCTCCACTAAAGTCCCTGACCGGTCGTTCAGCTCAATCACCAACAACGTGCGGTGGGGCGATGGCGCCGTCGACGACGATCCGCGCATGAGGGGACGATTTCCGGTGTCTCTCTCACATCTGGTGTCTGGGATGGCGGTCTGGACTGGCGGCGCTGGGCGGCGTCGGGTCCCCCGACCCCCGCCACCCGGTACGGAACGCCGACAGCCGGCCGACGCGGCGGCCCGGCGGAAGGCGCCGCCGGTCCAGCTGCGCAAACACTCTTCCGTCTCCTTCTCCGTAAAGGCGGCGCTCCCGCAATGTGTCTATGAGCGGAAATGTGATGTGCTCGCGTCGTCATTTCCAGCTGGTTGAGCCGAAGTTATGGAGTTGGACGCGGTAGCGGCGGAATCACTGAAGCTCTCGTCATTTCGTACCCGGAGTTGTTTGGCACGTTTCGCTGAACAAGAGCGGTGACGAGATCGCCGAAAATGCGCTCCGTGCCAGCTGGCATGCCGATGCCCCGTCCTCGCGCCACTCCGGATCCCCATCGCGGAGGTCGTCGGGCTCGGGTCACGACTCCCAATAAATGTGGAGGGCTGAGCGCCCCGCGTGGTGGTCACGCGCCGCCAGGATCGGCCGGTCCCCGCTGAAGGGGCAGGAGGATCACGTTTTGGCCTCCTGCCAGCACAGAACCGCTGACGACAGCGGCGACGGTCAGCGGCCGGTCCCCGCTGTCCTCGGGCTCTTTGTGCCGGCTGGTCGTCAGCCTGCGGACTCTGCTGAAGCAGGCTAGGCTGAGAGGAGAGGATCGACGCACAGACTGGGCGCCGCAACGACATGTGAAGATAAGATATCAGTAAAACTGGGACAACTCTACGGCTATTTTGGTCAGCGATTACCGGACGCCCTACCGCGCCGACTGCCTCTGAAAGGGAAGTAATCTCGCAAATGGCTACACGACCCTCTCTGTGGAATTTAGGACAAACACTTTGAGGCGCGCGTGGAGTTAATGACCGGCACAGAGCCCGCTCCGGAGAGTAACGGCACCATCAGGGTCGCCGAATGGCTGCGGTCTCCGCCGGCAGCGTCGCTGCTCCCACCCCGTCGCCGCCGACCACCGACTCGTGACGCGCCGCAGGCCGCAGCCAGCCGACGCCTCCCCGTCGGTGGTACTCGCGGCTCCGATGGCGGCCACCGTGGTCGCTGACGGTCTGTTGCGTCGGAGGGATCAGCGGTGGCCGGGTCGGGAGATCAGCGGTGGCCGGGTCGGGAGCGGTGGGCGGCAGCCGTGTGGCGCTCACGGTCTGTTGCGTCGGAGGGATCAGCGGTGGCCGGGTCGGGAGCGGTGGGCGGGAGTGTGGCGCTCACGGTCTGTTGCGTCGGAGGGATCAGCGGTGGCCGGGTCGGGAGCGGTGGGCGGCAGCCGTGTGACGCTGCCGGCGCTTGTGATTTGTTTGGCGGTGCGCATAGATAGCCGCCGATGTCTGACCCCCGGTGCGATCACTGTTGCTCTTGGAGCTGAGAATGATGCGAGGCGTTCGCGAGCGGCGCTAGAGCCGTGCATCTGTGGGAAAGGGATTATGGATTGCTTATAACCCTGGTGTGATGATGAGGCGTGTTAACACCATTATTTGTCGTCACCATTCGTTTTTAACAGTAAACTGCCGGTGTATTACATACGCCACGAAGACAATCCGCAATGTACACGCCATCAGACGACCATTGTGCTTTTGGGCTTCCAGGCTTGGTTGCTTTATTGACGCGAATACAGAGCTAATGGCTCGCCAACCCGCGTCTAAGAACCGCCTTCTGTTGACCAGGTGTGAAGCATGCTAGTACGGTATTTCAACATCTACGGCCCGCATGGACGCATCTTTCATCAGCTCATTATTGAATCTGCTGAGTTATGAGACTGCGTCTTGTTCTACCCGCATGATGATGTGCATGATCGGCATTGCTTCACCAAATGTGCTCATCTTGCACCTGAGCAATGGTTACGTCCCATTTCGCGTGCATCGAAGGCGCTCTAAAATAAATACAGGGACCTCGGCATGTGAAGTTCGAACTAACGATGCGGTTAAGGAAAAAAAACTAATCAAAGCAAAAGAGAGGCTAGTAATATGCGT